TCTAGCGATTCTGTTAAAAATAATGTCGTTGTTGTCGAAACCGTGTTGTATTTATGTATTGTATACTGGCACAATGAAGTGACTTTTCTTCAACACTAGGCAAGTTTCAATCTTTATTCAGCTAGCTGAATAAAGATTGAAACTTGCCTAGTGTTGAAGAAAAGTCACTTCATTGTGCCAGTATACAATACAACGTATTTATTTTTTAGAAAATGCAAGGAAAGCGGCGCATCCACCGCTTCCAATGACAGCACGCCACTGATTGCAACTTTGTTATATCTGCTTCCATCACAGTGGTAGGTTAACGCCTTAACTGTCTCAACCATTTGAATAATTTGTATTGCCAATCATATTTCATATTATATTTATGTTTTTCATTTATATTTTTCTGACAAAATAATCTACTATCAAGGGAAATTCAGATTAGAATCTAATATAGGCCTATCCTCAAACTTTAATGGCAGTAAACGCATCTTGGTAATCCAGATTAGAGTCTGAGTTCACTAATCTGGACCAGATTCCGACATTTTTCTGGAATATTTTGATTTTTATGGGCATGTTAATCTGGATACAGTGGGTTCATTTCTCATTACTAGTCAAGTCCCAATTCAGACTGTTAGCTGTAAAGGCAGAAACCATTCTGAATATGATTACAAAGTCTCTTTTAGTTTCCAAAGAGCGGAAAAACTCAAACAGCTAGAAAAAACAGAGAGAGAGACTTAATCACGAGTCCTTGAATCACGAATAATTCAGATCAACATGCTCATAAAAATCAAAACATTCCAGGAAACTGTCGGAATTTCATATTCCTCATACATGCTGGCCAAATCTAATCGAGTAAGGCTCGTCTGTCCTAAACTAAATTGTATAGGCTAGGTAGTCTTTTAAAAGCGATTGGTTCTTCTTTTATCAAATCATTTACATTTTTATGTATTTTATCAATTTAAATTAAAGTAAATAAATTTGTATTGTTGATGTGCCTGTAATAGATAATTTTATTGTAACTTCATAAATAATGGTAGAATTAAAATTAAAAGTCTAAATTTCTCGTGTTTTGTTTTATTATTGCTAAGTACAGCATTAAGTTTTGCAACAAACATGTGTTAGTTCTCATTAAACATATCAAGTGTAAATTATGAACAATTTATTATCTTAGATATATTCGAAAAATTTACAGGGTGTGTGTTTGTCTAACAATAATATCTATTGATACCTGTATTTACAATAAGAAAAAATATATGTCAATTCACATAATTTATCACAAATTATCAGCAAATGATAATATAATATGAAATCTGCAGGTAATGTCAAGGTATCTAAATTAGGAACATTTTTTAAATTTACATTGGATGACTGTTAGTAAACACATAATATCTTTAAATATAGAAAATATTAATAACTGAATTTAAAAAGAAGAAAAAATGTTTAATGTAATAATATTATCACGTTTTATCTTCATTTTTATACTTCTTTCTTGTGGAAATTGTAACCGTAAGTAAAAAGTTAATTTTTTTACCAATCAATGTATCTATAATACGTTGTATAAATATACCTTAATTAAGAGAATTTGTTTCACATAAAAGAAATATAATGTCTAAATAAAATATTAAAATTTTATTTTTAATTTCAAGCTATTTATACATATTATTTGATGGCGTATAAAACATTTTCAGACACTATTTTTCGGTTAAAAGTGTGTCTTATACGCCAGTAAATACGATAATTTCTTTTATTATGCTTGATATATCATTCAAACAATAGATAAAAGTATAATTTTTTTAAAAAATTTCTAAAATAAGTTTTATTTTCTTCTATTAGATGAAGTGGAAGGAAATTCCTGTGACGAATTTGTCGATAAAGTGATAGAATCTGCAATACTGGCTTATAAGCATAAAATAGATCCACTACAACCTAAAAATTTAACATTTGAATTTGAGAAGAAGGTTTTATTTATTACCTATCGAGGAGAAGCAAAACTATCAGATACTGTCATCTATGGCCTTTCTACAATCCATCGTGAAGGAGACTGTGAACTTTTTGCTAAAGACGGTGTTCTGAAATTTGCTGTTACTTTAGGAATGGGAGTATTAGAATTTGAATCAAAAGCTAAAATAACATTTATGAAACTTGGCCCAAAAGTCACTTTGACAGGAGAAATTGGATTTGCATTAGTTCATTTTGAGTTTAGCTTTGATAAAAATTCCGGAAAATTGCCTTCGGTTGATAAAGTAGAAATATATGATATTAAAGGTTCAAAAGTAAAGGTTAAGGGTTTAGGACCACTAAATTACGCTGCAGATAGAATCGCTGCATCTGCAATCAAGTTGTTTAGTGGCCGAATCAGAAAGAAAATGGAGGAGAAATTGCGTGAAATATTAGATGATGAAATTAAAAATCATAAATTTCCAACAGAAGAAGAAGACTAATGTTGAAGTATACAAATAAATTTTGTTTTTAATCTCGTCAAATTAAAATTTGTCTGTTTTATTTAAGTAATATTTTCTAGTTAATTGAAATAGGAATTAAAACTTTTTCCCAAAATTATTTAAAATTTCACAAATATTATTAGATCTTTTCCAAATACTAACGAATAGAGAAAGTTTAATTATAAACAATAGTAATATTTGCTAATAATAAATAAATTACTGGAAATTAATATTAATCACTTTTAAATAATCTTGATACTGATTGAATATATTTATAATTTGAAAAAGTTGAAATTATGGTCGACTTCAAGTGTATTTGTGGTGCTCTTGAGAGAAATGGGAAGAAATTGATTTTATAAAACAAATTATTGTAATTGAATTTATAATTTATAATTATGGAAAAAATAATGATTTATTATTAGTTTAATTAATGTAAGAATCTAAAACTGTTAATTTGTGATACTTGAAAGTACCAAATGTACTTTCAAGGTGCAGTTTATTTGGTACTTTCGGGTACCAAGTAAGAAATGTATAAAGTGATTCGCGAATATTATTAATTAATTAAGGCGATTAAATTTAAAATTACACTCCTGTATTCATCAAGATTTACGGCTAACTTTACACTTAACACAGTAAACAGGACACATTTTACTTAGTCATAGTTCGGTCACTTCGGGATTCAGTATTTCTATAGGAACAATTTTTGCAGCAAATTGGTATTTGCAAATCGGCCAATTATCTCACTTTCTTCAATGTACTTAATACCATTTTTTTTTTCAATACTAATCACAAGAGATTATTTAATCTTTCTTGAATCATTGTGAATTCCGATTGCACGCCATAGTGTCATGCAATCCCGCATATTCCATTTCCGTTTCGGGTTTGTTTCTTTTTAACATATCTTGGAGAGCGAAATTGGTGAATCCCATGGATCTAGAGCTACAAGAATGTAATTTTTCTGTCAGTGGAACTTTAAATTGAGAATAAACAAGGATGAAAGTTTAGTATTTGTTTCTGGTTTAACGAAATACGGTGGTACCTCAGGATACGAATGCCCCAGCATACGAAATTTTCAGGATACGACATGAAATTCAAACATATTTTTGCTCCACGATACGAACAAAAACTCACCATACGACGTTACATTAGTTCGTAGCGCCATTTTTTATTCACTTCTGTTCATCGGTCTCAGTCCGCGTGTTTACTTCGTCGTGGAAGGATCTTACTCGATAAAGGAAATCTTGAGGTATTATCAGAAAGTGATTGATTTTATTGAAAAGGAACAACCCGAAAATGTTCACACTGGCCGTATTGCTGCTCGGAGTAATGACATTTGTCTAAGTCATTTTAAAAAATAGGCAAAGCCAAATCTCTTTGGATAGATATTTTATCAAGCGACCTCTATCCAGTGAAAGTGCTGGTGGAAGTGAAGGAAAGAAAGCAAAAAGCAGTGAATAAAAATTTAAAATATATACCTATAAAACAACACTAATTTTTTATCTTTTCTAAGTTATTTTTACGTTATTGTTACATTTTGTTATGTAAGTTAAGTTTTAGTATCATTTTCCTTTTCCCTCTCTTCCGCCACCAGTTTACACCTCCACCGTCGTCTATCCTCAAAGGTAAAGCGCAAATAAAACTACATTTTTTTCATCAATTATTATTCTATTATGGTTATTTATACACTTACAACTACAAAACGCATTTTGAAGTGTTTTCCTTACTATAGTTATTTTTTTAATGTACTACTTAGCTTTAATTTGAGTGTGTTTTTCGTGTTGGAACGAATTATTTGGTTTTACATGTAATCGTATGGGAAAAAATGATTCATCTTATGACATTTTCATGATACGATTTCAGTTTCGGAACGGATTAATTTCGTATCCTGGGGTACTGTACCACTGTACAGGAAAAGTTGCCATTTTAATTATGAAGAATACTGGTTAAAATAAAAACAAAATAATTTAGTCAGTTTATCGTTTCTATATTATTTTTGAAAATTTAATTTCTTATATTTTAATGCGTCCACATATTTCTTTTAACATTTAAACTTTATTTAGTGATCAAAAATAAGAAATATAAAACAAATATAAAACTTTACATTTTTATTTTTATTTTCTAATTGATATGAAGTTAACATTTCAAATTACGACAAAAACAATGAACCTTTATGCTCTTATAATCAAGTTTATTATTATTATTTATTTTTTTTCTTTTTGTATTTATTAATGATATTAATTTTATATTATGATTTTACTAGCAAAATATAACAAATCTTTTGCTTAAATTCATAGAAAGAATTTTTTAAATAGTATAAGTTAATTTATACTATATTTACTAATAGTACATAATATTTAAATAGACGGCCGGATGGCCGAGTGGCCAATCCGGACCGGATTGACCCTGGGCGACCTGGGATCGAATCCGGACGAGTCAAAAAATCCCCAGAAATTTTTGGGGGTGGTCCGTTCGGATATAACGGGCCCTATCCCTCACCACCCGGTCGCCCCATTGTGGGCCTGGCTGAACCCATAATGGGCCTGCTTTAAAAACCCTCTTAGTGCCCACAGGGCAGAAAAAATATTTAAACATCATTTTTATATTAGATAACACATTTAGTAAATAAAGTATTTAACAAGTTTTAATAAATCCATACTTTTGGATATAAAGTCATTGCAACATTCTCAGAAAGTAATCTTTTAATATATATTTCTATTTCTTCAAAAGAAAATGGATGATTCATGTATTCTCTTCGTATAGGTTTTGTAAGCTCTAGGTTATTTTCTGGATGTCTTATAAAAATTCTTAAATTTGCAAAGTAATATAGAGAAAAATCTTCTAGAGATACCACATTACTGTTTCGCACTAGTTTTAGTGTCATATTTGATTTTATAGAATCACTTAATAATCTAAATGTCATATTAATCTTAGAATTTAAAACAGAACAAGTTACATTATAATTGATAGTTAATTCATTCATCGCGACTACTGATTTAATTAGCATGTCATACTTGTTATATATAATTTTTACATTCCCGAATCTTTCAATATGTTTTATTCCAGTTGCAACTCCATCTTTAAATAAACAAACTGAACGTATCTTGACGGGTAATAAATTGAATGTTGCCGTTAAGTTGTAATTATTTAAATAAAAAGGTTCGTTAATAAAGTTCGCTGTCTTGTCTAGAACTTTACTAATGTATTTATTTGCTACATCTTGATCCTCTTCATCTTCAGTAACTAAAGTTAAAATGAATTTGTTTAAATTACAAACATCAAAACTACTAATAATTATTATAGCCTACTTATAATTATATATTGATAAATTATTTCTAAATATCAGAAAGGATAAGAATTACTTTTTATATCACACGATTTCCTCCATAAAATATTTCTTTTTAAATTAAAAGCAGGCCTAATAATTTACATTATAGTTAGTTTAATTAATGTAAGAATCTAAAACTGTTAATTTGTGATACTTGAAAGTACCAAATGTACTTTCAAGGTGCAGTTTATTTGGTACTTTCGGGTACCAAGTAAGAAATGTATAAAGTGATTCGCGAATATTATTAATTAATTAAGGCGATTAAATTTAAAATTACACTCCTGTATTCATCAAGATTTACGGCTAACTTTACACTTAACACAGTAAACAGGACACATTTTACTTAGTCATAGTTCGGTCACTTCGGGATTCAGTATTTCTATAGGAACAATTTTTGCAGCAAATTGGTATTTGCAAATCGGCCAATTATCTCACTTTCTTCAATGTACTTAATACCATTTTTTTTTCAATACTAATCACAAGAGATTATTTAATCTTTCTTGAATCATTGTGAATTCCGATTGCACGCCATAGTGTCATGCAATCCCGCATATTCCATTTCCGTTTCGGGTTTGTTTCTTTTTAACATATCTTGGAGAGCGAAATTGGTGAATCCCATGGATCTAGAGCTACAAGAATGTAATTTTTCTGTCAGTGGAACTTTAAATTGNAAATAAAATTACGATAAGTTTTTCGCCAGAAGATTCTAGTCTTTGTAAATGAGATAAAGTAAAACTATGAAAGAGAAATCCTTTCATAGTTTTATTTTATCTCGTTACAAAATGGCCGTTGCAGTAATAGACTATAATACTATCATTGAGAAGAATCCTAGACGTTTTTTTGGAATCATAATTTTCTTGATTAGTTTGAATCAGTTGTCATTTTCATCTTTCTTCAATGTTAGTGACACTTGTTGTAATCGCTTATAATTGATAAAAATGAGGGGACCATAGAGCTTATATGTTATAATTCCTGACGAAAAATTCTAATTCATCTCGTCGATCATCTATTTGTCGTCATCATATTATTTGGTTTTATAATCTGCTTTTCCTCGCAATAATAATCAAATCCAATTTTTTATTGACAGTCTACAACATTAAAGTGAATATTATCACCAATCTTCTTACATAAAATTTTTATATTGTATTTCAAATATTATGAATTAATAGCGTTTAAAAAAACCATTTTAGTCAACTTATTATCCTTTTTATTTTTTAAAATCCTATTAATTTTCATTTAAGTAAACTATAATTTGAAAAAATAATACATGGAGCATCTACCTAAGTAGGAAAGCAAGCAAAATCATATTCGAACAAAAGCGATAATCAAAAAATTAAAATTAAATTTTAATATTTTCTCGTGTATCAAGTAGAGAGAATAAAAAATAATTAGTAAAAAGTGAATAGCAATAAAATTTTTACTATAATATATAATGTAATATATTCATACTCACGTCCTTTCGATTCTCTGAAGTTAAACAGAAATAAAATTATTAATGTTAAATTTAATATCATAATGTTAAAATGTTTTTATAAAACGAGTAATTTAAATAAGTGTTCTGGTAAATTATAATTGCTTAATGTCTCTAATAAGTAGAATATTTAAACACTTTATATATCTAACTATTAAATGTTTCAGATAATATTTTTCATATTCTCTAACTGGGTCGAATCTACATTATCTAATGTTATCAATTGCAAAAAAAAAAATTATCATTGATTACTTAAAACGTTGTAAAGCACACTGATAGTAGTGATAGTGTTGTAATTAAATAACTCTTTCGAACCTTATTTAAATAAATATATAGGTATATAATAGCATTGTATGATATTTAAATGCTTTTAAATGTAATAGAGAAATACTTGTCGCAGAGTCGCACAGTGGAGTTTCGTGTTGCAAAGGAAGTGATATCCATCGTTTGTAATGATAAAAGTGCCGTAAATTAAAAAGAAAACAAATAATAAAAATGATTTTTTCTGAAAATCAAGACGTCACCGCATGATACCTTAATTATATTAAATTGTTTACCAAAATCCGAATTTTACATACGAAAAACAATCTAGGAGCATAAAAATCTATGTATGAAATAGCAAACTGTTTGAAAGTCAAGGACTTTTTGAATTAAAATCAATTAATTAACCTATAATTATTTTGATAAAAATCTTGATATCGAAAATAATTACGTTAAAGTTTCGATTTAAAAAAAATATTTTTAATGAATAAATTAACATTGAAAAAATAGCATTGGAATAGTTCGGCTAACCATACAAAAAACAATTTTAACAGAAAAACTTAAAAAATACAATTGAGAAAATTCAAAAAATTCTTTATTATTATTTAAATACAGATGTATTAAATGAAGTCGAATAAACAATAGGATTGACAGAATGGCTTAGAGAAAAATTAATGCTTACAAAATTACCCAAAGAAATTATATGTCTACTTAAGATTAGAACCCGAAATCTTTGAGAAAGATTAATACTGAAATATCACGCGGCCGTAATTTTTAACGTAATGATCTAAACGAGTCAAATTCTACATACTAGTTTTTGATATCATTATTATTAACAATTTGAAATATAGTGAATGCCAAATAACTCGGATTAATAAAGGCGAAAGTTGTACGAGTTTACGAAACTCCAAACTCATTAGCAACTTACTGACTATAGTAATACAATGCACGGTATCGGAGACTTCCCAATATTGAAAACTCATTGATTATAAGTTTTCTATTGTCAAGAAATTTTAAATTACAGCAAGAACTTAGAAAAATTTATATTACTGTTTCAAAAAAATTTGTCCGAGTTAACGAGGGTTTACTATATCAGAGGCTTAATTAGGGGAAGGAAGGAGCGAGTGCTTTTTCTGTAAATAGACAAGCTATTATAGCAAGCTCAAATTATAAAAGATGATTGCCTGAACGAAATGGCTAAGATGTTGCTAGGAATCTCTGTGACCTGATCCAATTCTGTCGAAATCTTACGAATTTTCGTAGAGGGCAAGTTCAGATAAGTCAAGCTCGTTTCCACAGTTTAATAGGGTTGCTACCCTATTAAAGTTCTTATCTGTTATAGCATTAAAAGAGAAAAAAAAGACTATTTTAAAGCCAAAATGACGGGAAGAGGAGTGAAAAATTTTTATGCCTTCTTTAACCATGAGTTTTAACTCATGGTTAAGGAAGGCATAAAAGTTTTTAGGTAGATCAGGTTAATAAAAAGATAATTTTATATTTGAAAAATATGTTAAATTTCAATTTTTTTAATGTTATGAACATACATGATATGTTTTAAGTTAAATTATTATTATTTTTTTTTATGAAATTATTTAACAAATAGATATTATGAATGAAGTTTTAAGATTATAAAGCTTTTATTTATTTCTACAGATGACACTATTCTCAGCATTACGATTGATAAATTAATGATAATGACGTTTTTTAATATAATTATCTTTCACTGTGTGTTTTATTTCACAAACCATATCCTGAAGAAAATACGAATTACTCGATTTTCTTCCCATCGTAATTGTTATCGATAAAGTAAACAGTAATTTGAAATTAAAGGTATAGTAACTTTACTAAACTGTTTTATAATAATTTAATTTGTAAATGTAAAAACTTATAACGTTTATTTTTATTATTAAAACAATTTTAAAAAATACATAAAATAAAATTTTATAATTTCGAATTATATATATATATATATAATTCTGTAGTCAATTTTATAAATACAATTATAAAATTTAAAGTAAATTTTTCTGGAATTTTAACGTGCAGGAGGAAGGAGAGAGACAGGAAGAAAGGGTATTTATCAATCAGGAAAGATCGTAATCAGTATGAAGTAAATAAAACTTAATTTTAATAAATTATTATATCCTGCACGATTCCACATTAATTTTTGTCCACAAACTTAAAAAAGATTTAGAAATTTTTAAAATAGTTTAATAATTTTTTAAAATATTTATTTAAGTAATAAAATAATTTTAATTATCATTTTTTTTTTAATTTTGATAGCGACATGTGTTATATTTTATTTTAAAAACTCTTTATATTTTTAATTATTATAAAATGGCAAACAGCTTAATTTTGAGGGTAAGGTTGAGTTTTATGAAACATTGTAAATGCTAATAACGAGTAAAATCCTCATTAATTAAGTTAGACTCTACTGGAGATAAGACACAGGAATCCCTTTATCTCCCCACCCCGTCGACCTTTAACAACCAAAATTTAATAGCATCAATTACCATAATACACAAACTTCCTTGCAAAATTTCAGAAATTTTCGACGTAAAGCACAGGAATTATTAAGCCTCAAAGAGAGTGAAGAAAATAGTGCTTCCCACACACACTATTATCCATACATACAGGGAAAAACTCGAATTTTTTCCATTTCTCGTCGTTTTAGTCTCCTGAGTCCAAAAATGTAAAAATTTTGGGTATCATTTTTTTCCGATCGCCATACTTTTCCTTTATTATATATATATAACGAGTCGGGAAAGTAAAAATGAGTGATGAAATTGCGTAAAACTTCTCTGCATTGGCTTTAACGTTCAAGGCCACGAAAAGGAGCATCACACTCTTTCGCGGCACCAATTATTTATTAAATTGATTAGCTAGCATATAAGACTGAAAAAAAATCTGTTATCTTGAAACCAGCTGGTGGTTGTGGGTTAAATATCGACAGATCCGGTCTATTCTATTCACTAGAAGGGCGTAATCGCAACATCCTCAACTAGATAATCCATCGTCTTCCTTGAATTCTAAAATCCATTATTAGTATAACACGAATAATTTCTATAGTGCAATTATAGTTATGTCACTTGTGATATTATTCAGAAAAATAGTGTTTACTTCTCTTAATTTAATAATGATAACACTTGAATGAACGTTTTTTACATATTTATTTCATTTACAATTACCACATTTATTATTATTATTATTAAACAGTTTATAATTGAATGATTCTCAAAATTTTAACCAAAAATATAAATACTATTCATGTTAGATATGATATAAAATTAATGAATTAATCTAGCAAAATATTGATTTAATTTTCTTTAAGCTATTTTAATATTTTTACAATTTATTCCGTGTTTGTTCTTTACTTTCAATACACGAAATGAATTGAAGATAAAAGATTTAATATAAAAAACCTGCTATTGAACTCTTTGAAATTCAAGAAATTTTTTTTCTATGGAAATTGTTGGAATATATATTTAGGGGAGATCGGGGCAAGATCGGCATGTTAAGCTTTACTTAAATTTTGTGTAATAAATACTGCTGTAAACTGAAAAAAAAGCTTTGCATATTGTCTATTGGAATGTTACCTTACTATAGAACTGGTTAAAATCAGTTTGGAAATAAAAGTAATTAAAATAATTACAACTTTACAAGAAGAGAGAAATTGACGAAGTTGCCCCGGGTATAGGGGCAAGATCGGCAACTTCTCTCTTTTTGTAAAGTTGTAATTATTTTAATTATTTTTATTAAAGTTGCCCCTGGTATAGGGGCAACAGTAATGGGGCAAGATAGGCACGTATATAAAATTATGTTATTAACAATGTATAAGTTGGAATTCACTATTAAAACAAAGAAATACAAATCCAACACCCATTTAATATTATTACAACGAAATGCAAGTTCAAAGACATATATACATGAATAACAAATGCAAACATGTTTTCATTTATCATCTGTTTGATTTTTATCCTTTGCTTCTAATGTGGCTTTATGTTGCCGATCTTACCCCGCTAGTCATGATTTCGAAACATTAAGTACAACCCTGAGAACAGAATGCCAAGCCACGATCTGGCCACGTGAATAAGTTGAAGTTACATCCTTCTAACAGGAAAAGTAACTTTCGTTATCATGGAATTATAACAAAACCTGCCAATTCAATATAAATGGAAAAAAAATATTATATGGAATTGAACGAAAATGAAAATTTGCTTGATAATTCAACTACGCTTGTTGGAGAACAATAAAAACACTACACTCAACAAGCCACCAATAAAACTCAACTGCCTAACCTATAACCAAAGTCTCCTTTTAATTTGTTTTTTAAAAAAAGCGCTTGACAAACTTGCCCCGCATGCCGAAGTTGCCCCGATCTCCCCTATATATGCTGATTTCAATGGAAAGCATTGAAATCAGCATATATAAATTTCTAATAATTTATTCTCCTTTTACGAGTAGTCATGCAAAACAAATATTGTTAAAATAACAATTATATTTTTTATTCGGTGTTACAGAGCTATCTACGTTCATGCACTATTTTACTTTCATTTCTCATAATTACTAAAAGAAAAACCATTTTAAAAATGCTTATATTCTTTATAGAATGAAGATGTTTTCTATATTTGCAATAATATCTCTGTTCCTTCTTTATGATGGAAAATGCTCCGATCTACGTATGTATCCTAATATTTAATCGTTATTTGAACTTAGTAAATATGTTTAATTTTAGCAAAATTGCATATAATTGATTTTAACTTTAAATAAAATTATACCATAAAATTTATTAGAAATTTCTCTAGATTTGTGAAGGTAATAAGTAGCCTACTCGTGGTCTGATATTAATGTTAATTATGAAGAAAACATTTATTTTATTGAAATTTTTCACGTTTTTTTTTAATTACGATGAAATAAAGTATGAATATTTTGCGAATAAACCGTTTATATTTAAGAAAATGTAAGGAGAAATGTCAATAATTTAGATTTTTAATATAGAAAAGTAACTGAACTTAATTAATTAATATCTATTATTTTTTGTTAAAATTTCTAATTAATTTAAATTTAATATTACACTTTTATATTTTTATAACTTAAAAATTATTTCTAAATGATATAAATTATGTTCTAACTTTTGAATCAAATTTAATCTTTTGTTTTGTTTATTTAGAAAAACGAGACACAACTGAATCTAATAAATATATTGATGATTTAATCGAAAGTACTAAAGCAGAATTCGGCTATAAAATTGAACCTTACCTTCCTGAAGACATTTCTTATGGATTTGAACGAAAAGTGATGTTCGTTACATTTAATGGAGAATTACTATTTAAAGACATGTCAATCAGCGGCATAACATCGGTATATCGAGATGGAGATTCAAAAATGACCGTAGATAATGACGTTAAAAAAATCACATGTAATTTAGGAATGGGAGTGTTAGAATTAGATTCAAACGTAAAACTTTCGTTTATGAAAATGGGTTATACTTTAAAACTACAAGGAGAAATTGGCCATGTTTCAGTTCACGTGGAAGCTAGTGATGAACCCGGAAAATCGCCGAAGATTGATAAAGTAGAAATTTATGATATGAAAGGAGTGGAAGCAAGATTAAGCGGCTTGGGTCCTATGAATTATATGCTAAATCAATTAATTGAAATATCTTTAAAAGTTTTTAAAGGTAAAGTTAAGGCAAAACTGGAAAACAAACTACAAGAAGTATTTGAAGATGCCATTAAAATTACCACATTTCCTGGATATTAATATAAATTCTATTAAACGAAAATAAACTCCTTGTTTAATTTAAACTTATTTTTTTTTTTATTTAATTAATAGTTAATGATATGATTCATAATGATTATTAGAGTAATTTTTAACCGTAAACTTTGAGCCCCGAAGATCTGAAGGGCCGCACTGCTTGAATACTTTTAATACTTTATATTAGATTGTAAATTATATAGGCCTATATATTATCATCAAATGAAGATTTTTTTCATACAATATAAAAACAGACTATTGAAAAATTACGATTTTCATTTTTCTTAGATCAGTGGGTTCTTGAAATACTTTCTGCGGGAAAGCCTGAAAAATAAGAATTACGCTATTGTTTTTAAACAGATATTTTAAACATTTTTTATAAGTTAGACATCATAAATATACATAAAAGTTAATAACGCATACATTAATTGAATTAACATTTATACTGTCAACAAATAATACTTATTAAATTAAAACTATGTATTTGATAGCCTTTTCATCATTGTTTTTCGATTTTGGATATAAACATTTCAAAAGTAATAAAATTATGTTCAATAAAATAAATGAATACAAAATTTTTAAATACTTTTAGAGAGCTTATATTATATATGATATAAACAAAACACTTCCACATGAAACACACTCAGCTTTCAAAAATTACACTAATTGTAAACATTTAGGAAATCGGTTTAAAATTAAATCTTTGGTTCCTTTATAGTTTTTATTCTTTCCGCCCTGTGAGTGCTAAAAGGGTCCACCATGGGTTTAGATGATGGGCAGATCCACAATGGGGACGACAGGATGTGAGGGACGAGGCACAATATATTCGGGACAAACTGTCCACAAAATATTGTTGCTGGTCTAGTATCAATAACATTAGTAGGCTGACTCTCTTCTTTTATGGTTAAAATTATGAGATTTTACAAAGAATGGACTTAGATGGTCACCTAATATATTAATGCCGAAATAGGTAAAATAAATTCTTTCAATAAAACTTCTCATTTCACAATTTTTTTTAAGGTAAAACGTCTAAAAATTTATAATCGTTAAGAACATATACTATTGATTAAAAACAAAAACAGTATATTTAGAGCGGCGTATATTTAAAGATATAAAAAGAAACTGAATTTTCCTACTCACTTAAACTTTATCATCTTTCGTAAAAAGCCAAGACTGAACAACAAATAAAAATGCAGTATTTGCGACAGTCGTAATTAATATTTTCTTGACTTCATGATATTTAAACAAATTAACACATAAAAATCATAAATCTGAGAATTAATTTCATATATAAAAATTTTGTTTCACTAAGATTAGTGATAGTCATTTCAATTATTTAATTATAATGAAATACATTAAATTTTTCATTTGTTTTTGTATATAAATGTGACGGTGATATTATGGAGACAATATCTTGATAGAGATTAATCTCAGATATTACCTAAGTAAAATACTTAAATTAATACCTAAGTAAAATGCAAAAATGTTTTTTTACATTTTACTTAGGTATTTTATTAGGCCTATACATTGAAATCCAGTTGTCACTATTATATATGTAACATACATGTAACTTCTGGCATCAAGTTAATTTTATGTTTATTTTAACTTTATGAATTCTTTAACTATAACTTAAATTTTATAATGTTTTAACCAAAAGTAAACTGTAACCAGATTGATGTAAAATTAAAAGAAGGACCGATGAGGGACATGTTGCACGAAATGCATATCCTCAGGAATCAATAAAAGCCTGTATTCATCTTAATTGAGTGGTTCTGTACGATTTGTTCTCTCAAGCAATTGTATGCTTACTCATAACAATTACAACTAGAATAAAAAGCAATCAAGTACAAATATTCGCCAAAGTTATCTGATTAGAGCGCTGTAAGCAATACTCGTCTCACTTTCGGATTTTTACAAGATAGCCAGTAATGAGCTACCAATTCCTCTTCATCACAATTGGGGCAGTCCGTCGATTCTGTCATGTAACGAAAAAGTAAGAATCATCTTAAAGGACATCTGTGTAAAGTCGCAATAATAAAACCTCGTCCGATCGAGGAATTCCCCTTCTGGACACTACGAAGTGCCAAATACGACATAAATTAAGTGGACTCTTCTCGTCACCTTATTCCATGAAACCCCTACCAACTTAGCTCCAGCTGGTCTAACGTCCACAACCATGCCATCAACTCTAACAAGATGTTGAGCACAACCGAGTCATCTATGATCGGGTGGCTCGGTCAGGGGGTTTTTAGCGGTTCATTAAGGCGTTTTGGAGCTTATTTATCTTGTATGATTGGCCCTGATATAGGAAAATTCTAACTGCTAGTTTTGCAGAACCATTTCTATGACCGCTTTGTCAACGAGAGCACCATTCCCACGTTGCAACTGTCGGATTTACTAATGGCTGAGTAACTCTTTTTGTATTTTCACGATTTATGCAGTTTGCATTTTCACAATCTTGAACACTTTTAGTAATTTTTTCATCCTTCATTTCTTTGGTTTGTAAGTTTATGATATATATTGTATAGCCTATATATATTTTTCCCCCTTTTTTTATTTCTTGTACTCTTTTCACTATACTTTTCTCGGCGCTTTTCTCTTCTCTTACGCTCTCGGTGGGCACTAATAGGGCCTGTTTCTTAAGCTCATCATAAGTTTGCCAGGCCCACAATGAGTAGATGGGGAGGAACGGAACCCGACACATCCGAGACGGATTACTACCCGGAAAATTCTTCTTAGGTTTATTCGATCGTCTCCAGAGCGGTGAGCTGTCACCTTAAGGCGACCCAGCTGTCATGTGGTGATTTCTTGTAACCGTGAACGAATCAAAAGGCGAGATAAGATTAACGAAAACATTTATTAGCTCCGACTTGAATTTTACACAAAAGACATCTGCAATCGTGAACAATTGACGATATAAAGTATACATTTATCAGATAATAAACAAAGACTCAATTTGTAAACAACTTACCTTTTATATATACAACTGACGAGATTATCTTTCAAATTATAAACAGACTCGATTCCGAGCGGTCTTTCGATGGTCGGACATACAAAAAAATGAACAGATGGCGCCTATCTTAAGCGCGGTTTACAATAATGAATATGACTAATCTTAACACGTCATTTTGTGATATTCGATAATTTTCGTTTTCTTTTTTAATGACATCTTTACCTATTGTAATGTCATGGAGCCATAGCGACACTCTCAACACGGGAAAAAACACGTGTTATATCTTCACCACACATTAAGAATAGGTAACTGCGTAAACATAGAAAATCATCAACTTGTTATCCCCTTATTTACTACTTTCTATTGCAACAAAACTTTTCTAAATAGCCCTTAGTTGAACAGTATGTGTATTGGTCGCCAAATGGTTTCTTCTGAGGTCAATTTAGAGTGGAATCAGTTAGTCTATTAATCTATCTTATATTAAGGTTAGTCTTTTCTTGCTTATGATGTGTTCGACTGATAAATGCAACTGAATCTGTCGCCATTTACAAAAATTTCAATCAGTGGCGTGCCGTGACATTCGATGATAGGGAAGCTGTTTCTGTAAGAAGCCGACTTCCAGGAGCAACCAGTTAATTCTCTAAATGCATTTTTAATATATTATTTATCTGACGTACTTAATAAGCAAGTTCAATATAATTACCTCTGTTATTAGATTTAATAGATTCCCTATGCCCTCTAAATGCCGATTCTTGCTTTGATAAAAACGTATAACATCTATTAATTTAGATAAAGTATATCTATTAGCCGTAATTACCTTGTTATAATTTTCAATATTTATTTTATATTATTTACTAATGTTAAATTCTATTCCGCTTTGATTTTAAAATTGATTCAAATACGAAAGAATCGACGATTTTTCGTGTCTTTTGCCAGCTAAATTGTCAAAGCCATTCTTATTCCACACACTAATTTCATTTGAAAATAGTAGGCAAGGCCAACAAAACAATTTTTGCATTTTTATGCATTTACAGACCCATTTTATCGTGAAAATGTCGAACAAATTTTTTATTGAAGTGTTTATATTTAACTTGGGCATTGGCCCTTCTCTTTTAATAATGTTTTCTTTTTCATTATATGATCTTGAGCCAAAACTTTTTTAAAATAAATTTTCAATAACGCAACTATATTCTAAATCGCTAGCTATAATATAAGAGCTAAAATTAAAAATAAAATTATAAAAACTTACTTGGTGAAATAAAATGTGTAGTGGATATAAATACATACCTGGTACAAAATATTCTTCAATTGTATGAATATACTTTTAAAGAAAATTATAATTAAATATAGCTTTGTAAAGAAACGTACATAAAATAACATAAAAATCTTCTTTACTTTTTTAAATCTTAACCACTTAGTCAAATAGCTCTCTACGAGTGGAATCAGAGACGACCTTAGTAGATGTGCAGCGCGTGCATGCATGCCAAATCCCGAGGGTTTCGATATCGGTTAATTCAAATGCCTCTTTTGTCACATCACTAGTATATCTCAAAGGATGCGACAGGGTTGTTGTAAATTTTAAACGTTTCTCACCATAGCTGTAAAAATCTAAATATGTTAAACTTAATAGATTGTCCGTCATTTGTTTTCTAACTAATTCGTTTTAGGACCAGGTGTCCCAGAAATGTCCAAAATTTACAACTTTTCGATCACTCTCGTCGAACTGGAAAAATTTCTGTCTTTATTACATCTAATATGTCGAAGAGATCAGTCCCCACTGTACTCGGCTATAGATTGGTTCGGTTAAGCTTTTGTTTAAGTAAAATTTAGGCTCTTTCAGTAGGGTTTTATTTGTGTCCCCACTTCCCTAATCACTTAATTATTTAACTAATTCTTAAGTAGAAATAAGTCGAAACCGGTTACTTTGTACTCGAATATTTGTAGTCTCGGGGAAAAAAAGTGGAAAGACAAATTTTTACGACAACGGATATATAAATCGTAAATGTAAGGAAAATAAATTGTAGAGCTTTTTCTGAATCATCTCTCTCATTCATTAAATTTAGTTGTAAATGAGACTGTCGAAGTAACGGTTAATTTTTTAACATTATACAAGAATTGTACACGTTTTTTTCTACATCCCCTTAAAGATGGGATATACGAAATCGTAATTCACTGGTTTAACATCGAAATCCGTGAGTAATATAAAATCGGAGAGCGAAATAAAAATATCAAATATTTTAATGGATTTTTTTAAACTCCTGTCAACTATACAGAACTATCATAAAAACATACCAGTAAATTCTTATCGGTTGAGTGTTATTCACGTAATCGGCCAAATATCTAGCGGGCGGGCGGCTAACAGCCCAGAACCGGTCCCGAATAGAATTGGAAGCGTTATATGTGTAGCATCCACCCAAGGTCGTAGGCTTCCACCGGCTAAACCGGGTGGGGTTGGTGTTCTGTAAAGCGCATGCGCGAATCTGGCTTTTTGGATGCTGGCAATACAGGTCTTCCACTCTGCCACTAATATTCGAATTTACAATAGCAATCTTATCTTTTTTCTCACGTGTAGTATAGAAATTTGTAATAAGTTACATAATGCGGTTATAATAAATATTGTGCGATTATTTTCATATAATTAAAATTAATATGTATTTATTTTTTAGAAAATACAAGGGAAGCGGCGCATCCACCGCTTCCAATGACAGCACGCTACTGATGTATACTGTAGTAGTACCCACAGAGCCCATTAACAGGACTATAGATCGAGCATTTTTTACAGGATGCATGTATTTTTTACGCGAATTTTTACACGATATTCTTTGGAACGTATAAAAGATAAGTGTACCTTCTCAAGATTTCCAGTTTCGATACCCGATACCGATACTGACTGGTATCCATACTTTCAGACCAATACCAATACCGATAGTGGTATCGATACTTTTATAGTATTGGTATATCCCTAGACCTGAGTCATGGCTGTCGAGAGGAGGAGAATGGAATATTCTCCGGAACGGGAGTAAATTTACGAGTCCATACCAACCAGGCCAGGTTCTAGCCTAGTAGGTATCTAGATGACCATTCCCATAATGATTCCTATCTGTATATAATTAATGTTATTTTACTAACAAAAAGTAAAGTTCCTAAGATAGCTTTTTTGTTAATACATATTTTATATGTTTAAAAAATAACGTGAAAAGCGGGAGTGCTAAGGGAAAAAGGAGACTTAATCTATCTCGGTCCCCATAAAAGCTTCGGAGGCCTTGATTTGATTAAAGGTCATCTTAGTGCCCATATGGCGAAAAGAGTATATAAAGAAAGCATTTAATGAATTGTTAACAGATATAAATATTATGAGGAACAGCTTCGAAAATCACTTATTATTAAAAATTATTTTATAAATGTTCTATTACTAAGAACGAATTCATAATTTAATTAGTAAATATCAAAAACAAAAATGTCATGCATAAGAATTCATCATTATTATGTGAATTTAAGACTACAATATACTAAATTCTTTACAGAAATAATAAAAATATTTTTAATTAATCATTAGTTTTGTCATTTTTAATCATATCTTATCATTATTTAACAACAACTAACAACAGATATTAAGAAATTTTAAACATGTCTCATTTTCTTCAAATTTCTAAACTGATAAACCAAGAATCATATGTTTAATTCTCATATTCATATACTGTATATATATATTATTTCTCATTCCATGATTATTTAACTGAATTCTTATTTCTTAAAATTATTCTTCTGCAGTAGTAAGAAGGTAAGTATTTTAGTATCGTACGGTGTTACATAGAACCGATTTATGTAGTATTTTTAAATAGCTGAAAAGAAATGTAGCATTTAATTAGTGTTATTCTGGTTTTATATCAGATTTTATTCATCACTGTGACTATTGCTTTACATAATACAAAAAATTTTTACAATCATTAAAATGAAATTTTTATGAAATCTTAATCTTTCTGTGGTGACTAAGAACATCTTTTTTTCCCCTGCTTATCGAGTTTGTACGTATCTAAAACAGATCACAAACAGCTGTTCTAAAAGACATAAATAAAAAATAAGGATAACAACACAAACCTTATATCTATATAACTGTTTATTAATTTCAATCGTTGTTCAATCGTAATCGTTAGACATGTATAATGCGCACTATGCATCTGTATATGGTATAATTTACTATACGATAACCATGCTGTGGTTGTGAGTTAGTTTTAAATGGTAAAATTGATGTTGCGAACGCATAAATAATATGTATTGCATATATTCGATACAAATGATAAATCCTAACATAATTCCTTCTATAGTTTTTTCCGTGGGCTGAATAAATACACTGTACAATTTAGGTGAATATTTCCATTTTAACGTAATCAGAAGAAAGAAATAAAACCCGAAATCGGACAATTTTGGCGTTGCCGACAGAGAGAAAAGATATCAAGATGGACAACATGTGGATCGGGTCGTATTTGGGTGTTATCGGCATTGAGACAGACGCTACAGTTAGAAGAAATCGTTTATTTGATACGAAAAGATCTTACAAAATTTTCCGCAATCTTGGAAGTTCAAGTCAGTGGCGATCTCTGGATTTTCCTCTCCTTTCCAAAATAGTCTCGAATGAAGAAATGTTCCTGGTTCGCGAGTGACAGTTCCTTCGACATCTTGATGGCTCCGGGATGAAGAAAGATGGAGACGAAGAAAAGCGCACACACACAATTGGTCCTACACTTGAAATTTTCGAGAGAAGTCGCTGCGTTTTTGAAATTCAGGATTTTTATTATTTTCTGTTTCCGGTTAACCATTCCAATTGATTGTTGTTCTTTGTTTTCACTTTCTAAGTGGTACTGTGGGTCGCTCGTTGCTAAGTGTAACGAAATCTCAACTTAGATGGCGGGAGACGTTAAAATCGGTGTTTAATTTGATCCCAACTGGAGATGGGTTGCTCTTAGGACTTATATTCTTCTATTGTTTATACATTCGCGTCGTGTTTTTTGGACAAAATATTATTTACGCTTTTTTTTACATGAAAAAATATTTTAACGTGAATTTTAGTGAGGGTTCAGACCTGCCCAGGCCTCACACAATTAATTACTGCATAAATATTGAATTCACATTGCACAGTTCGAACTTTCTACTATACATTTTATGTCATACTGTCAAACTATACTGTCAAAATCGCTTGACCCAGTATTCACGTATTCTCGAAAAACTGATTCTAAAATTTTCCTCAGTATTATTAATCTGTCTCACTCTGTTAATATCGTCACTTCTTTCTATTTTATTCTTTGTTTTTGACCAATCATGCTTTTGTTCCGGAGGAAGGTGAAATAATTTGTAAATCTAGTGATCCTCCTCTTCTCTAGTCATTGAAGAATGATGTGTGTCCATGTGACATGGATAGAATACCATCGGTCATATAACACCACCGAAAAAGGGGAAACGACGGGCATCTCCTTATCTTTTCCTTCGCATGCTGTGAGATTTATAACAGTTAATTATAATTTTTTTATTCTAATTTGTTTCTCTAAATTATTTTAAATTGATATTACTAAAAATATGCAAAGGGATCCCTAAAATCGGAAAAATAGGCGAAATTTCTTTACAATGTTGGTTGATACAGAACAAACATATATATATATATATATATATATAATACACATGGAGTTTAAAATACAATAAAATTTCTAACTGATTAATTAAAGCGAATACATCATTAGCAAAAAGATAAAAACAAAGTGATTAAAACTAAAATTATACGTACAGATAATGTAAATAACAATTCACAAATACATATATATATATATATTTGTGAATTGTTATTGTTAAATATATATACAATTACAACAAATTTTAGAGGGGAGGAAATGGTGGGCCTCACAATAATTTTAATCAAATCTGTATTATTTAATTTTATCTGTATTTTTAGATATTGATATATGTAATATAACGTAAGATTTGTAGATTTACGAGTAGGTTATTTTACGAAAAGTTTAATAAATGTGTCAAAATAAGTGTTCATGTAGGTTAAATCATTGTCAACAAGATCATAAAATGTACTTCTCTGTGTCAATCATGCGATGTATATTTTTATGGACAGATTTAAAGTTTATCAAAAAATTACAAAATTATGTATATCCCCTTAAAAGTAATAGAGAAATAGCCAATCTTGAGAATGCTATTACAATCTATTATCTATTATTATCTAGTTCACAATCGGGTTTGCATCTAAAATAGCAGAAGAAAGAAATACTTTCTAAACATAAACGAAATTTGTTTTTCGGATTCTGTTATAAAAAAAAAAAAACAAATAATGCAAAGACTGTGCGAACGAAATAGCATAATTATAGGTGCATAGTGCGAGAATTATTTTTGGGCTGCAATTTTCGTTTTTAAAACTGTTTTTATGATAAATACCACTCTAAAAACTCTCAAATTAGTTTAAAACAGTCGTAAATAGTTATTGCAAAATGTACTTTTTTGCGTTAACCGAGAAATTTTTAAAATGTTAGAAAGGCATTTTTGAATTCTTTGATTTTTCGTAATAATAAATTTTGTATTTAAAAACCGGCCTAAGAATTACACTTAACAATTTAAAGGAATCATATTTAAATGTACATAATAAAACAGTCTTCAAACCCAGTACTTTAAACGCTCAATTTAAAAACATTCTTCCGTAAAAGTATAAATAATGCTCTGAAAAAATATCGATATTTTCTCGAGAATGAGTAAATAGTGAGTGAATTAAGTGTATAAGTATGAGTGAATATAACATGTTTACAAAACTTCATTGAAATCGGTGATAACAGACTGCAGCTTTACCTTGTCAGTCCTGAGGATATCGTAGATGATAACAGTTTAAACACCACTGCTTCAGATATTTGATATTTAAAAAATTTTTAAGATATTTGAAATTAAATCTCACTAAAATTATTATATTTTTCATTACATATTCATATAGCAATTCAAATATATATTATTTATATATAGTAATTTACTGTATAACAATATAATTATATGTAATTATGCACTGTATATTTCTTTTCATTTCTAGTGACAGAAATGATACCAATTATATTCCTTCTATTTGTTTGCCGAAACGTATTGTCAGGTATGTTATTCAAATTATTCAAAATTTAAAAGTAATTAATACTCTCTTTTTATCTTACAATCGATATAGGTTGATAATAATAATAGTAATGATAATAATAGAAACCAAACGGTTAGGAATTAAAAGTTGAAATTTGGTACACAGTTAGGTACGTCATGAGAATGCACACTAAGAAAGGAGTTTTGGAAATTCCCCCCTTCGCATGGGTGAGGGAGAGAGTTAAGGCTTACCCTGAAAAACTCGGCTTCTACTATACTATTTTAGATGCCGTTTTTTTTTTTCGTTTTTGCGGAAAATCGAACATATTTTTACTCATCTAAACATTCTGTAATTAGTCTTGGAAAAGAGGGGGACCTAATTCTTGCACCCGGTGAAAACGGATAAGATCGGCTATAAAGGTTATCTTACGTACGAGTTTATCACACCGAACAATCAACCTAACACATTTTAAAAATTCTTTATTCCTATACTGTACACAATTTAGAGAATTTTCACATAGAGCAAAATACATTTACGTTAAATTACACTAATTTTTAAGAATATTTTTCCATAATTCATTCATATTTATACAATTTATATTTATTTTTAAATGATGAAATATGGTTTTCTTTTCGATAATTTAATAAATTAATTAAATTAAATTCAAATAAAATAAAGTTAAAAATAAATTAAATAAACTTTATTTAATTTATAGTCCTGAAGACTGACAAGTTTATTTAATATATATAATTTATTTATTTAA